AAATCACTAAAATAACTGATAAAACTATTTTCAGTGTTTTTTCCCTCCTAGGCAAGTAATGGTATAAATGGTTAAAAAAAAAAAAAGAATTGGAGTCATAGTCTACATGGAAATTTATGTTCCTCTTTTGAGTATTTTAACAAACTATAAAATTAAATTATTCCTAGTAAGAGGAGAAAATACAGAGTACATTCTACCCCACTCCCAATCACACTTCCATCTCCATTCCTACACTCTGGTACTGACATCCAGGAAGTGTTTGAGAAACTTTGTGATGGTAACATGCACAATTTTTATAGCCTTTAAATCCAGCCCCCACCCCCACCCCACCGGCCTCAGCCAACACACACATACTCTTACATTGTATCTTGAGATTCTTCCCATGCTGTGAAAGCAGTAAAAGTGGAGCTTTGGGAGTCGGACCAGGATTCCAATCATAGCTCTGCAATATAGTAGCTAAAAGACTGTAATCATTTCTGGAAATCCCTCTGGGCTTCAGTTTTCTCTTGTGTCAAATGTAAATGATAATAATTCTGTAGAGATCATGTAAATGCTGCTGGTAGTAAAAGCATGGAAATCACTTGTAAAGCCCTCAGGACAGTGCCTTGTGCATGGTAGGTGCTCAGTAAATGAAAACCATTCATACTTTGAAATGTTCTACAGAAATAGTATGACTGAATGGTACTGAGAAATAAATGTTTGTTGTTTAAGCCATGCGGTCTGTGGTGTTTTTGTTATATTAGCCCAAACAGACTGACATAAACAAAAAGACCTAAATATGTTAACATAATACAATTGTCAATTATGCTTGGTGGGAAATGGATGTGTATTGTCTTACTCTCATTACTTTTCTGCGTTTAAAAATATTCTTCAAAATAAATAATTTTTAGTAAGACATAAAATTGTATCCATCTACAAAAAATGGATTTAACCCATTGTTATTTAAAAATTGTAGCAGTATTTTACAGTTAACATTTTCTTCAATAGGGAAATGATCACTCTGGAATTTTTCTTTATACTGTTTTATTTTTCTTCAAAGCACATATACCATATAACATGTATTTATATACATTTTTGTGTGTGTTTGTTTCTATGTTTATTATATTCAGACTACAACATCAGCTTCTCGAAGGGTGGACTGTCGGTTCACTTATGTACCTCTAGGCCTAGAACAGAGCTATTCAGTGTCAACATAATAGGAGAAACAAATGTGAAGGCATATATAATTTTAAATTTTCTAATAGCCTCAATAAATTTTTTTTAAAAGGTGAAATCAATTTTAATGGTTTATTTTATTTATCCCAATGTATCAAGGCATTTTCTACGACCCAGTAATTGCTTTCCTTTACACTCATAGTAATGCATACACAAGACATCAAGGTCTAGGTATAAGAATGTCCAGAGTAGCACTATTTATGAAAGTCAAAAACTGTAAATAATCAAAGTATTAATTAACTATAAAAAGGTAAGCACAAATTGTGGAATAGCCATTCATTGTAGTAGGACACGAAAATGGGGATGAATGTTACAGATACGATGAAATGGATGAATTTCATAAACACCATGTTGAGGGGAAAAAAATCCAAAGGGGAGAAAAATGCAGTGTAATTCTACTGATACAAAGTTTAGGAACAGGTATAAACAAGCTATTATGTTTAAGATGTTTAAGATGATGACTATGAAGAAAAAAATTTAAGAAGTCACAACCACAAATGCCAGGATGATGGTTACTTTTTGGGAGGTGGGAGGGAGTGGTGATCCAGAAAAGGAATGGTTCTGAGGTACTCGTGTATTTCATTTCTTTAGGCAGTGGATGCTCACTTTAAAATGATTCATAAAGCAGTGCATTTATGTTTTATGTAACTTTCTGCTTTACTATTCCCATATCACAAGAATCTGAGGACTAGATATTTAAGTATTTGAAATTTCTAGTGGTAATATAGCTTTTAAATATTGTAGCATACTTTTTTTATACAAAAGATTAATTGCAACGATATGAATACCAATTTTGTTGAAGCACAGCATCATGGCACAGTAAGAAATCTATGAAGCAGAAACAGACTTAGGCTTAGGGATGGTACATGTATAATTTTATTTACTTAGTCTGTGCTGTGATGGTGTCTAATTAAAGTAGAAATCTGATTGTCAGAATTTGCAAATATTTTTTACATGGAATAACAACTGAATTCTTTTTGTGATGAAGCCTATGTTGAATCAAAAACAAAAAGACCTCTTCATAGTAGTACCTGTTTTTCTTTTTGCTTCTGTGCATCAATCAAATTTTTAAAAATGTCCTGAACTTCTCTCACTACTCTGTAAACCAATATAAACATCCTACAAGAGTATATTTTGTAAATGATTCTTCCAAAATTTGGCTACGTTAAAAAAAAGTAAGCTGAACATCTTATCTTTAACTGGAATAGTTTATACGTTTGGATTACTGAAAACCCTTCAGCTTTTGAAGTCCTTAGAAAATTGCAATTTTAAAAAACAAAGATTACAAACAAGAATACATTGAAATTTATCCCAACAAAGCAAGGTAGGAAAGAAAACATGGATAAATAATAAGAAAGACTAGAGATGACAAATTTGTATACTAAAAAACAGGTTTATGTTTATACTCTTTAGCATGTGTGCATGCATGCACAGACACACAGGGTTATTTGAAGAGTACAAGTTTCCATAGTGTTACTCACATTTGAATTTTCATGTAGGCTACAATCCTGATGGAAGTAATCTACTAAATTCTCATATCAAAATTGTGAAGTACTTTTTCTTATAATAAATTCTCAATTATTTGTTTTTACTTATATTTAAATTCCCACCCAAGATGGAGTCCTTACTAGTTTCAATAGCATCACAAAATGAAAGGTGAGAATCCTACACATTTTGTGCCCCACCTCACGTTGTCTTGGCCCACCATTTTACCCCAGTCGTGGGTGTAACCAGATGACATCTCATTTCAGCTGCATCACAGAGCTTTCGCGCTCTATTCCCAGACTTCTATGGGGCTGACACGTCAAATACCCGAGAGAAACCAGTCAGCCCTTCCAATGCTTACCAAACCCGAAAGCGGGAGGAGTACGCATGTAATGGCGCAGCCCTTGACCAGTTTTCCAATGGAGACTAATGGATAAAGTGCACCCGATTCTGCATCGCAGGTGGACAGTTCTGAAATGTATTCTACCAGGCTTTTTAGAGGAATTCAGCCCAACTACTTACCGCAATATTCCTGTGATAATATATCCTAGGATTCTCCTCCCCTTCTCTTCACAGCTTTCCACTCCTCTTCTTTGGAGAAACTTGCTAATAAACACTTTACCAGCTTTTGTCTCCAGCTCTGCTTTTGCAGAGGACCCAGGCTGAAACAAATTGAAATATGTTGAAATGTGTACATTCTTATTGGATGTCTTTTTTTTTAAAACTAAAACCTTCAGAAATGAAATTCATCTTATCTCAGAATTTTATGGACTAAATACTCTATTAATAGGAAAAGAAAAGACAACTTTACAGGCTGAAAGTTTGAGGTTGTCAATCAGGAAGAATGATTTCCTTGTGCAATAATTGCTGGCATTTCCATCAGCTTACATTTTCTTTATTGTCTAAAATGCAAGCCTTTCTAAACAATTTTAATTTTCATTAAACAACGGCTCTTTTAGATGGTGCATGTGAGTGCTAAATGATTTATTTTGCTCAGATTTGAATAAACTAAAATTTTAAATATTTGTTGCTAATTCATTTATTTGTAGCCCACTTTTCTGTAAGCTTATAAATACAGAAATAATCACTGACTTCTGGTTTCTAAATTCCTAATTCTACATTTTTTCTGAAAAGAAAGCCCATTTTGGATTATTTTATCTAAAAAAAAGATAAAAAGTCCTTGTAAACTGAAAAATCAGTTTACATGAAAGCAGCAGAAGGAATACTTTTAAATGTTAGGAAAAATTTTTTTTAAGACAAAGAAACTTAATCATGGATAATAACAGATTCAGTAAGACTTGTGAAGCTTAAACATTTTTATAAAATACATTTTTCCCCCACGAGGTGGCAGCAAAGATTTACTTTAGAATCACTGGACAGTCTCATACCAAATGATGTGCAGCTTTAAAAGCTATAATGTATAAGGAATAAGGGGGACATTTGTTACTATTCCTTGGAGATACCACTTCATCAGAAAGGTTCTATCATTGGTGGCTGCGGTTTCTGTGACTCCTTATACTAGTGGCCTCTCTTTTAAACACTCCACTTCCGTTTCATCTTTTAATATACTTATGGATTAATCTTAAATTACAAGTCTGAATATGCCACTCCTTAACTAAAGAAATCTTCAATAATTCCCTAAGTCATATGGAATAAAGAATAATCCTTTTAGTTTATTCACTCAATTCAGGAATGATATTCTATTTACGAAGCACTATGATGGGCACTAGGAATAGAAACAAGATAATGCATCGCAAGTATGTAGAGATATAGACCCAGCAAAGCATTTACCTAGAGAAAAGTATGGTTTGGGGCTGTTGAGGGACAAAGGAAGGATAACGGAGACAAGTGAATGTGACAATAGTCACTCTGGTCTGTAAATCAGGGGAAAAAACTGGGCTAGACAGAGCAGTGTTGGGATCATACTGAAGAGCACAGAAATATAATTGGTGACTTTTTAATTGACCTTCCAACTTTAAAATTTATACATGACAATTGCAAAATATTTTTTAAAAACTATAGAAATAATTGATGCGAAATTCACCCAGAATATCTGCCTGCTAACATCTAGGTATATATTTTTAGATTTAGCTGACACAGACACAACTTTTATGTGCATACTTTTAAGTGTCTGTCTCTCTATATAACAGATCTTAGGTGGGTCATCATACACATCCTGTTGTAACTGCAAGTCACTTAACAATAATTCACAAAGGGGGAGGAGGAGGGGAGAGCAAATGAGACTGAAACAAAAGGTCAGGAAGCAGCCATAAGAATCAGGAGAATAGTGCCGTGGATGACAAGAATTGAACGACCTCCAGAAATGGAATAATTTAGTGTCGAATTCTGCGAAGTGATTAAATGAGAAGAGGACTAAGAACAAATTTGGCAGTTGGTATCCTGCTGGTGACCTCTGCTAGAACAGTGTTAGCCTGACTGCTGCGGGACAAATGGGAGGAGATGCGAAGGGGTGAACTACTCCTGTGAGAAGTCTCCTTTCAAAAGACAGGATGGTTGCTCCATGGAAAGTCTGAACAGAGGAAGTGTTTAATGATTAGTTTGTTTATTTTAAACGGAGGAGATTAAACATGAATATCATTTGTGAAGAAACAACCTGGTAGACAAAGAGAGGGCTAAAATATAAGAAAAATAGGGAATAGTTAATAAAACAGGATTCTGGAAATGGTCAGATGTGATCAAAAACTAGGTGAAGCATCTGTTTATATATGGAGAGAGTATTGCTTTTTTATTTCTCTTAAGACGTAACTCAATTTGCTGCTTTTTTGAAAATACAAACTTCAGTCTTATTCAATGTAGAATATATATTAGATTTGATTTGCTGAAAAGGAAATGTATTTAATTTTTGTTTTGTTTCTCTTTAAGTTTTCCAAAGGTAATTCTAAAATTTTGTTAAATTGTTTGTTTAACCTGTGATTTTTTATCAATACATAAGAAAAATAAAATTAAGGAATATAATAGAGAACAGTTGGATACCAATGTAATAATCAAAAATAATAAGAAGAGCCAAGATTTGGAGCAATAAGACCTGACATTGAGTCTAATATATAATGTTGGGCATGCTGCCTTACTTCTCTGGTTCATATACTTTCTAACCTAAAAATAGGTCACTGGGAGTGTCAGTTGAAAAAAAAATTTGTGAAAATGTGTTGTGAACCACAAAGTCTTGTAAAAATATTAATAAACTTTTTTAGAAACATTCATGTAAAAGTATATCACAATTTTTATTTAAGAAGCTTTACTGTAATTACAGTATACAATTCTAAGTTTCACAGATTTTGATATCCAATTCTACAGCAATTTGCTTCTTATAACTAAGCACATGTTGACACAAAAAAGTACCCCAGCGAATGTTTATTAAATGAATTAATAGTGAATAGTCAGTTTTATCCTGAGTCTTATCAAAATAATTTATTTTTATTTTTAAAAATCAGAAGGTCTTCACATTTTAAATATAGATACAGAGTATTTTGATATCTGTTATCAGCTAATAAGTATTTAACTTTAGATTTTCATGCTAAGGTCATTTTACCTTTTGTTCATAGATATAAAATATTTTAATTAGAGTTACAACAAAAAATAGATTTTTTTGTGTGAACATATTTTAGGGAAAATAAAAATATATTTGGCTGGATAGATGTCATTATGTCAGTTTAATCTGTTGACCAATTTTCTTTACATAACTAGCCATTCACAATTTTGCCACTTTATTTTAAATTTACTGAAATTATTTTATTAATAATCTTTTTAAGCAATAAAAATTTTAAACCAAGAGTTGATCCATTTATTGTTTTTTATCTGTATAAAATGTGATCATTTATATCTCATACTATTGGGAATTTTCTTTGGTCACCATTTTTTCTATCAAATACAATGTCCTTGCATCAGATTTTATATATCATAATGTTGTACTTGGAGTTTTATCTATTTAAAAATTTATTTGTCTTTCTTACTTGTAAGAGTCATAGTCATCAAAATTTCAAAGAATGAAAGTGTATATTTATTTTTTGTCTAACCTTAGAAACAGTATAAAGGACAATTCCCTTCAGATAACTTTTTTTTAAATGGAAGTACTGGGGATTGAACCCAGGACCTTGTGCATGCTAAGCACACACTTTACCACTAAGCTATACCCTCCCCACCTTCAGATAATTTAAAATTAAGCTAACGTACAGGGCTGGTTTATTGTATGGACAAGCCAGTTCTTTAGTTTTTTAAGTCATCTGTGTTCTAGCAATGTTACTAATTCAATGTTTCACATATATAACATACCTTTTCTTTTCTTAAAGTCTGCAAAGTGAGTCAGTTTAATAGATATCATTTAAGTAGACATTTGAAAATTATATATTTGGTCAATTATCTGTGGTTCTGAATAATACATGCTTTTGCTTTTCTCCATTTCTTTGAATTGGTGAGAATTTCAATTATTTTATGGGAAATATTAGTGTAACACTACTCAGTTGGTCATGAGATAGTTGAATAAGGAGTTCATAAAAATCAAAGCAGAATATGTTTACAGGACTCAAGAAAAATAATATAATATTGTAACATAAGAACAGAAAGTTTAAATAAATATAGTTTCAGGAAAAATGTCCTAATATTAAATCATGCTATGAAATACCTTCCCATGGGAAGTGTGAACACTTCAGTTATTCAAAACCAGCCTGGAAATAGCATTAAAAAATCCACCCTAGGGAGTAATTTTATACAGTGGTTGAGGTGACTAGGAGCCTAATAGGCCTTTACCTTATCTACTTGGTATGAGAAGTAAATAGCAACTTTTATAGAGTACTTGCCATTGCAAAGTAGAAATTAAAAAATAACGTGACCAGCAGAAGTAATGTGATTCTTTCAAAAAAATGCAGTCACATTTTACTAACCTATAAAATACTAAGAGTAATGATGATTTTCAAAGAATCTGGAAAATAAAAAATGTTATGAAGTATTGTGAGGCTCTATTACATATTTTATTCACACATATTACTTCTCTGGAAAAATAATTCTATAAGCTAGAAAGTGGAAAAGAAAGGGAACTACTATAATGAAGAGGAAAAAATAAATGAGAAGGAAAGCAGAAAACCTCTGTTAGTCCCCCTGAAGGGCTTCAGGCTGTAATGGGACCAGTTCGAGGAGTATTTATTCATCCTAAAATAAAAAAGGAATCCAGATGTTTCTGTTTCAAAAGTGTTAAAGAAGTTGTGGGAGTTTGAGATTTGCAAATGATAACCTCTCTATATAAAAATAGATAAAAACAAATTTCTCCTGTATAGCACAGGGAACTATATTCAATATCTTGTAATAACCTTTAATGAAAACGAATATGAAAACGAATATATGTATGTATATGCGTGACTGGGACATTGTGCTGTACACCAGAAATTGACTGACATTGTAACTGACTATACTTCAATTAAAAAAAAAGTTAATACTCTCTATTTTTTGTGAATATTGATTTTCTTTACTGGTGACATTATCTTTTTAAGATCTCAAGGAAAGGATATTTGGTTGGTTAAACTTTTGAATCTCTGTTTCATAATATTTCAGTTCATTTTTTATCATTCAAAATAAGAATGTCTGGAAGACAATGATGTAAACTACAACACCAGAAGTTAAGGGTACAGTTGACTGTTGAACAACATGGGATTGAACTTTGTGGGTCCATTTAGTGGATTTTTCAACAGTAAATACTACGCTA